GCGCTCCCATTGAAAACAATTAAAAACGTACGCGAGGCGCAAGGAAAAACGCTTTGGTGGACACACGGCCTTACTCATGTCAAATGTAGCGTTGTAAATAAATCTATAAATAAATAAATACAGTGGGTCACTCTAGCGGATTAGCTGTCTCTGACGTTGTGAATAGCTAACACGTTTAGCCGCTAGCATAACTGTCGAGGACACGTTTTCAGTGTCGGTTCGCAGAATGATGGAATCAAGCTTTCAAATCTGGCCAGAAAAGTTTCTCTTATATTGTTATATTTACGTTTATCACTGATTCTTCATGTTTGTTGTGTGTTTTAGGGTGTGGTGCACTGCCTTTCTGAAACCGCCAAACTGGGACCACTCGCCTTCTACAAGGTGCCAGTTTTGCTTTATTTGTGATCATGCTAGATTTGTCTAAATGTCATAATCGCGTGTTCGCTACTTCAATCCGCTCATTACATTATCACATCGTTTAAAATGAATACGTTTCTCTCGTCCAATCGTAACGCAGGGTTTAGTTCCGGCCGGGATCCGCTTGATTCCTCACACCGTCCTGACGTTCGTCTTTCTGGAGCAGCTGAAGAAACACTTCGGCATCCTTGTGATCAGCTGAACTTTGACTTCTTGACCTCTTGACCTCTCCCCTTGTGGCTCACGGCTGTATGTTTTCTGGACAATCTCTCTCTTTCTCACACTACTCTGTCACGATAAACGTCACAAACGCCAACGTAACGAAACACGGCTTCATTTCTCCGGGACGCCTGGGAAAACACGACTGGACTCTTCAGGGTGAGGTGTAGATCATAGATGTTATCTATCAGGATAGATATGTTTGTAGTATACATGTATACATTTGATTATGAATAAATGATGATTCCAATTATTATTTTGTTTAAAAGCCGTTCATAAATCCTCATATTGCAGATGTTTTAAAGGAATAATTCACCCAAACACAAACATTCGCATCATTTACTCACCGGATGTTGTTCAAAACCTGATTTTGGTTTTACAGAACTGTTCCTTTAAGACATGAAACGCACACACAAAACGGTCCATATTTATGGTTTTAAAGTGAATTGTGTTTTAATGATGCAAATACTGTATTTTCAAAGAAGAGTTTGATTGACAGATGTTAATTAGGGTTAAGCATGTTTTTTCTTTTATAAGCGAAATATGCTGAGGAAGAAAACAAAATGACCGACTGATGGGGATCCAACGGCTTTTTGCATTGTGAACTTCTGTATTTGGTTCTATGATTTCATTTTTCATTATTTTTCTGTTTCGTTCATCTCTATTAATTCTACATCATTTGTGACAAAAATGAGATACTGTAATTCCTGCAAATGTGCTTTTTATGTTTCAAGGTAACGGGGGCATTTAGTGAATAGACTTATTACTAATTCAGTTTAACGGTTCGGTCCTAAATTTCTAGATTTATCTCGAACTAAGCATGTAACAACAAACGTTTATCACATATTTACTTAGCGTTTAAACTTAATATTTTAGATTAAGTTGGGAAACTACCATATTGGTATAGGCATACAGACACTAAGAGTAAATCTGAACACTGGAGAAGCCTTATTTACCCGTGACCAGCAGATGGCGCTGTGTCATGCCGTGAATGTGTGTGTGCGTGTGTGAAGCGTTAAAGGGACGGTTCACCCAAAAATTAAAATTAGCCCATGATTTACTCGCCCTCAATCCATCCTAGGTGTACAGTAGATGACATGCTTCTTTCAGGCGAATGCGATCGGAGTTATATATAAAAATGTCCTGTGTTTTGAAGTTCATAAAAGTGCATCTATCCATCATAAAAGATTGTATGCACTTCAAAACAGAATCAGCCATACACTGCCGTTATAAAGCTTGGAAGAGCGAGGACATTTTCCGTATAACTCCGATCGTATTCGTCTGAAAGAAGAGCGTCGCACTTGACGGTGAGTAAATCGTGGAGTAAGCTTAATTTTTAGGTGTACTGTCCCTTTAAGGGTTTGCAGGCAAGTTTGTGTTTACCTGGGTACGAATTTTTGTAATTTATGGTTTGGAAATGGAGGTGTTTGTTGTTTGAACAATGTAATTTAGCTGAAAAAAAGTGAAATTATGATGATGAGAGATGAATATGGTCTAAACTGAAATTTTGTCAAAGAAAAATGGAAATAAAAGTACTACTAACACCAGAAAAAATGTGATTTGTTTTTCCTTTAGCATGGAGTGATTTGTATAACTCACACATATTTATAGATCACTCAAAACATGTTTTCGTTCTGGTTATACAACCAATGTTCAGATTCAGAAGTGCATTAAAGTAAATGGCCTATTTTGTCTGAGGTCAGTAGTTGATCACTGTCGTCTCTGATGTTGCCATGTTTAAACTTTTCTTCCGCTCTCAGGTTGAAGTGAAGTTGAAGTCATATCCTTGTGTTAAATATAACGTGTATACCACATAAAAACCCAACACTGGATTAATTTAGTTCATTTGTCACTGGCCATGAGTGTTGGTGAAACGGGTAAGAGCATCACTTACTAATCGATCTTTACATTCAAAAGTGCTTGTGTTAATGCAGTCAGTCATTCGGTTGCTGTAGATCTGATGAGCTTCAACAAACTAAAGACAAACTGATTATTATTTCTATGGATGAAGCTCATATGATTCCTGACATGAGAAATATCTTTTGTTCATATAATTACCAGTTCATTTACACAATCTGATGTTGTGAATTAATAATCTTCAGATGTGCAAAGATCTTATTAACACTAAGAGCTGTTTAGGGTGAACATACACTGATTATGATCATATTAGTGATGTTTAATGCTGTATTATAGATATATTTTATGCTGATGATTATATTAATGCTGTATCATAGTTTTGTTTTATGCTGATGATTATATTAATGCTGTATTATAGATATATTTATGCTGATAATGAGGGCCAGAATGACTTCTCTTCCTCTGATCTTTCTGCTCATGATTCGCGGTGAGTCTCTCTTACATTTCAACTTCTGAGGCGCTAAAGTAACTAGTTGCTTCTCGATTTTTCCTTTTATTCTGATGTTTTTAGTGAAGTTTTTTTATGATTAATGAGCAGTTTTCTGTGGTATGTGGATGTATTTTCTTTTGAAACAGGAAGTTTGGGCGAGTCAGTGGGCTTGTCTATTCTATAAATATCCTGTAGTTTTCAATTACGTCTTTTTTTTGGAGGACTTATGAGAAATAGTCCTCAGATATCTGTACGTAATTTATAGCAGTTTTCATGGTCTGTTGTAATTTATAAAACAACATTTTCATCGTCTGGATGATTTCTGTGTTTCAGGGGTTTCTAGTGCTGATTGGGGTGTGAGTTACAGTCCGACACACATCTGTGCACTAAAGGACTCAACAGTGATAATGAACTGCACTTATACATACCCTACTGGATATAAGATCGAGAAAGTGTTCTGGACCAAAGGCCCTGGATCGGGTGTTGAGCTTCCAGATCTGTCTAATGACCCTGAATACAGTCAGAGGCTTCAGTATCTGGGAGATAAACAGCAGGACTGCACCGTCAGACTGAGTCATGTGACACTGAAGGATTCACGCAAGTACTATTTCAGATTCATCACTGATAAACCTGATGGAACATGGACTGGTGCTCCAGGAGTGACTCTTACTGTCACAGGTGACTTTGATGAGGTTTATCTCTTCTTCTGTGCATTATGTTGAATAATAATCAGTGTGTGACAGCAGCACTAGATATAATAGCTGTGTCTGAAACCGCTCACTCGTTCACTCATTCACTAATCCCTATATAGTGTATGGCATTTGAGTGCACTATATCTGCAAGGAGTGAACGAGATGAAGTGAGTGAATTCGGACGCTGACGTTTACGCTGACGTTACAGAGTTGGAGCTGTCGCAGAAAAGGCTTCGTCACGCGTACTGATAAAACTCCTTTTATCTTACATTACCTACTTTATAAAATAATATTAACAATAATAACAATCATAATGACTTTATTTTGTAATTATACCTCCGTGCCAGCTTTGTAGTTTCATCGACTGAAATTCTACCAGAAAGACTCGGGAGATAAGATACTGTACGATAAAACATTTTATTAACAGCCCAGCAAGCCATATATGCAGTAAAGTTCTTTGGCGTAGGCCCCGTCCGTAACTCGCGATCCGAGGGTATGGATTCTGCATATCCTGCCTGAAGATGAAGGCAGGGGCGCAGCCGACCCCCAAAAATGAGTGGAAGAATAATTCCACTGGACGAAGCCCACCCCCAAAGAACATGAAATAAAAGTATACCCACCAGAAGTATGTTATGTGGTTCCTAAAATAGAAGAAGAAAAAGAGTTAGCAAACAGGTAGTCGACATGGGTATATCAATTTCCGTGGATAGTAGAGTTTCATCGATATTGCAGTGGGAACGGAACTCTACGATCTAAATTCGAGCATGCTTAACTTAATATGAAGATACTTTTCTGCTGCTGAATTACATGAGACATTTACGCATTTGCTCACGCTTAAAATTAATTTATCACTTATTTATTTAATTTATACGAGGCCGCGGTGAGCCACATAAAACGAGGCCACACTGAGCCACATAGAAAGGGCCACGCTGAGCCACATAGACAGGGCCACGCTGAGCCGCATAGACAGGGCCACGCTGAGCCGCATAGACAGGGCCACGCTGAGCCACATAGACAGGGCCACGCTGAGCCACATAGACAGGGCCACGCTGAGCCGCATAGACAGGGCCACGCTGAGCCACATAGACAGGGCCACGCTGAGCCACATAGACAGGGCCACGCTGAGCCGCATAGACAGGGCCACGCTGAGCCGCATAGACAGGGCCACGCTGAGCCGCATAGACAGGGCCACGCTGAGCCGCATAGACAGGGCCACGCTGACCCACATAGACAGGGCCACGCTGAGCCGCATAGACAGGGCCACGCTGAGCCGCATAGACAGGGCCACGCTGAGCCACATAGACAGGGCCACGCTGAGCCACATAGACAGGGCCACGCTGAGCCACATAGACAGGGCCACGCTGAGCCACATAGACAGGGCCACGCTGAGCCACATAGACAGGGCCACGCTGAGCCGCATAGACAGGGCCACGCTGAGCCACATAGACAGGGCCACGCTGACCCACATAGACAGGCCACGCTGAGCCGCATAGACAGGGCCACGCTGAGCCGCATAGACAGGGCCACGCTGAGCCGCATAGACAGGGCCACGCTGAGCCACATAGACAGGGCCACGCTGAGCCACATAGACAGGGCCACGCTGAGCCACATAGACAGGGCCACGCTGAGCCTCATAGACAGGGCCACGCTGAGCCGCATAGACAGGGCCACGCTGAGCCACATAGACAGGGCCACGCTGAGCCACATAGACAGGGCCACGCTGAGCCACATAGACAGGGCCACGCTGAGCCGCATAGACAGGGCCACGCTGAGCCGCATAGACAGGGCCACGCTGAGCCGCATAGACAGGGCCACGCTGAGCCACATAGACAGGCCACGCTGAGCCGCATAGACAGGGCCACGCTGAGCCGCATAGACAGGGCCACGCTGACCCGCATAGACAGGGCCACGCTGAGCCGCATAGACAGGGCCACGCTGAGCCGCATAGACAGGGCCACGCTGAGCCACATAGACAGGGCCACGCTGACCCACATAGACAGGGCCACGCTGAGCCACATAGACAGGGCCACGCTGAGCCACATAGACAGGGCCACGCTGACCCGCATAGACAGGGCCACGCTGAGCCGCATAGACAGGGCCACGCTGAGCCGCATAGACAGGGCCACGCTGAGCCGCATAGACAGGGCCACGCTGAGCCACATAGACAGGGCCACGCTGTGCCGCATAGACAGGGCCACGCTGTGCCACATAGACAGGGCCACGCTGACCCACATAGACAGGGCCACGCTGAGCCACATAGACAGGGCCACGCTGACCCGCATAGACAGGGCCACGCTGAGCCACATAGACAGGGCCACGCTGACCCGCATAGACAGGGCCACGCTGAGCCGCATAGACAGGGCCACGCTGAGCCGCATAGACAGGGCCACGCTGAGCCGCATAGACAGGGCCACGCTGAGCCGCATAGACAGGGCCACGCTGTGCCGCATAGACAGGGCCACGCTGTGCCACATAGACAGGGCCACGCTGTGCCACATAGACAGGGCCACGCTGACCCACATAGACAGGGCCACGCTGAGCCACATAGACAGGGCCACGCTGAGCCACATAGACAGGGCCACGCTGACCCACATAGACAGGGCCACGCTGTGCCACATAGACAGGGCCACGCTGTGCCACATAGACAGGGCCACGCTGTGCCACATAGACAGGGCCACGCTGTGCCACATAGACAGGGCCACGCTGTGCCACATAGACAGGGCCACGCTGAGCCGCATATACAGGGCCACGCTGTGCCACATAGACAGGGCCACGCTGTGCCACATAGACAGGGCCACGCTGTGCCACATAGACAGGGCCACGCTGTGCCACATAGACAGGGCCACGCTGTGCCACATAGACAGGGCCACGCTGAGCCGCATATACAGGGCCACGCTGTGCCACATAGACAGGGCCACGCTGAGCCGCATATACAGGGCCACGCTGTGCCACATATACAGGGCCACGCTGAGCCACATAGACAGGGCCACGCTGACCCACATAGAGAGGGCAACGCTGTGCCACATAGACAGGGCCACGCTGTGCCACATAGACAGGGCCACGCTGAGCCACATAGACAGGGCCACGCTGACCCACATAGACAGGGCCACGCTGACCCACATAGACAGGGCCACGCTGAGCCACATAGACAGGGCCACGCTGACCCACATAGACAGGGCCACGCTGTGCCACATAGACAGGGCCACGCTGACCCACATAGACAGGGCCACGCTGACCCACATAGACAGGGCCACGCTGAGCCACATAGACAGGGCCACGCTGTGCCACATAGACAGGGCCACGCTGAGCCACATAGACAGGGCCACGCTGACCCACATAGACAGGGCCACGCTGAGCCGCATAGACAGGGCCACGCTGAGCCACATAGACAGGGCCACGCTGAGCCACATAGACAGGGCCACGCTGAGCCACATAGACAGGGCCACGCTGAGCCTCATAGACAGGGCCACGCTGAGCCGCATAGACAGGGCCACGCTGAGCCACATAGACAGGGCCACGCTGAGCCACATAGACAGGGCCACGCTGAGCCACATAGACAGGGCCACGCTGAGCCGCATAGACAGGGCCACGCTGAGCCGCATAGACAGGGCCACGCTGAGCCACATAGACAGGGCCACGCTGAGCCACATAGACAGGGCCACGCTGAGCCGCATAGACAGGGCCACGCTGAGCCGCATAGACAGGGCCACGCTGACCCGCATAGACAGGGCCACGCTGAGCCGCATAGACAGGGCCACGCTGAGCCACATAGACAGGGCCACGCTGAGCCACATAGACAGGGCCACGCTGACCCACATAGACAGGGCCACGCTGAGCCACATAGACAGGGCCACGCTGACCCGCATAGACAGGGCCACGCTGAGCCACATAGACAGGGCCACGCTGTGCCGCATAGACAGGGCCACGCTGAGCCGCATAGACAGGGCCACGCTGAGCCACATAGACAGGGCCACGCTGTGCCGCATAGACAGGGCCACGCTGTGCCACATAGACAGGGCCACGCTGACCCACATAGACAGGGCCACGCTGAGCCACATAGACAGGGCCACGCTGAGCCACATAGACAGGGCCACGCTGACCCGCATAGACAGGGCCACGCTGAGCCACATAGACAGGGCCACGCTGACCCGCATAGACAGGGCCACGCTGAGCCGCATAGACAGGGCCACGCTGAGCCGCATAGACAGGGCCACGCTGAGCCGCATAGACAGGGCCACGCTGAGCCGCATAGACAGGGCCACGCTGTGCCGCATAGACAGGGCCACGCTGTGCCACATAGACAGGGCCACGCTGTGCCACATAGACAGGGCCACGCTGACCCACATAGACAGGGCCACGCTGAGCCACATAGACAGGGCCACGCTGAGCCACATAGACAGGGCCACGCTGACCCACATAGACAGGGCCACGCTGTGCCACATAGACAGGGCCACGCTGTGCCACATAGACAGGGCCACGCTGTGCCACATAGACAGGGCCACGCTGTGCCACATAGACAGGGCCACGCTGTGCCACATAGACAGGGCCACGCTGAGCCGCATATACAGGGCCACGCTGTGCCACATAGACAGGGCCACGCTGTGCCACATAGACAGGGCCACGCTGAGCCGCATATACAGGGCCACGCTGTGCCACATAGACAGGGCCACGCTGAGCCGCATATACAGGGCCACGCTGTGCCACATATACAGGGCCACGCTGAGCCACATAGACAGGGCCACGCTGACCCACATAGAGAGGGCAACGCTGTGCCACATAGACAGGGCCACGCTGTGCCACATAGACAGGGCCACGCTGAGCCACATAGACAGGGCCACGCTGACCCACATAGACAGGGCCACGCTGACCCACATAGACAGGGCCACGCTGAGCCACATAGACAGGGCCACGCTGACCCACATAGACAGGGCCACGCTGTGCCACATAGACAGGGCCACGCTGACCCACATAGACAGGGCCACGCTGACCCACATAGACAGGGCCACGCTGAGCCACATAGACAGGGCCACGCTGTGCCACATAGACAGGGCCACGCTGAGCCACATAGACAGGGCCACGCTGACCCACATAGACAGGGCCACGCTGACCCACATAGACAGGGCCACGCTGTGCCACATAGACAGGGCCACGCTGTGCCACATAGACAGGGCCACGCTGTGCCACATAGACAGGGCCACGCTGACCCACATAGACAGGGCCACGCTGACCCACATAGACAGGGCCACGCTGACCCACATAGACAGGGCCACGCTGACCCACATAGACAGGGCCACGCTGACCCACATAGACAGGGCCACGCTGACCCACATAGACAGGGCCACGCTGAGCCACATAGACAGGGCCACGCTGAGCCACATAGACAGGGCCACGCTGTGCCACATAGACAGGGCCACGCTGTGCCACATAGACAGGGCCACGCTGAGCCACATAGACAGGGCCACGCTGTGCCACATAGACAGGGCCACGCTGTGCCGCATAGACAGGGCCACGCTGAGCCGCATAGACAGGGCCACGCTGAGCCGCATAGACAGGGCCACGCTGAGCCGCATAGACAGGGCCACGCTGAGCCGCATAGACAGGGCCACGCTGACCCGCATAGACAGGGCCACGCTGAGCCGCATAGACAGGGCCACGCTGACCCACATAGACAGGGCCACGCTGACCCACATAGACAGGGCCACGCTGTGCCACATAGACAGGGCCACGCTGTGCCACATAGACAGGGCCACGCTGTGCCACATAGACAGGGCCACGCTGTGCCACATAGACAGGGCCACGCTGTGCCACATAGACAGGGCCACGCTGTGCCACATAGACAGGGCCACGCTGAGCCGCATATACAGGGCCACGCTGTGCCACATAGACAGGGCCACGCTGAGCCACATAGACAGGGCCACGCTGACCCACATAGACAGGGCCACGCTGACCCACATAGACAGGGCCACGCTGTGCCACATAGACAGGGCCACGCTGTGCCACATAGACAGGGCCACGCTGTGCCACATAGACAGGGCCACGCTGTGCCACATAGACAGGGCCACGCTGTGCCACATAGACAGGGCCACGCTGTGCCACATAGACAGGGCCACGCTGAGCCGCATATACAGGGCCACGCTGTGCCACATAGACAGGGCCACGCTGTGCCACATAGACAGGGCCACGCTGTGCCACATAGACAGGGCCACGCTGTGCCACATAGACAGGGCCACGCTGTGCCACATAGACAGGGCCACGCTGAGCCGCATATACAGGGCCACGCTGTGCCACATAGACAGGGCCACGCTGAGCCGCATATACAGGGCCACGCTGTGCCACATAGACAGGGCCACGCTGAGCCACATAGACAGGGCCACGCTGACCCACATAGAGAGGGCAACGCTGTGCCACATAGACAGGGCCACGCTGTGCCACATAGACAGGGCCACGCTAAGCCACATAGACAGGGCCACGCTGACCCACATAGACAGGGCACGCTGACCCACATAGACAGGGCCACGCTGACCCACATAGACAGGGCCACGCTGAGCCACATAGACAGGGCCACGCTGACCCACATAGACAGGGCCACGCTGTGCCACATAGACAGGGCCACGCTGTGCCACATAGACAGGGCCACGCTGACCCACATAGACAGGGCCACGCTGACTCACATAGACAGGGCCACGCTGACCCACATAGACAGGGCCACGCTGACCCACATAGACAGGGCCACGCTGTGCCACATAGACAGGGCCACGCTGAGCCACATAGACAGGGCCACGCTGACCCACATAGACAGGGCCACGCTGACCCACATAGACAGGGCCACGCTGACCCACATAGACAGGGCCACGCTGAGCCACATAGACAGGGCCACGCTGACCCACATAGACAGGGCCACGCTGTGCCACATAGACAGGGCCACGCTGTGCCACATAGACAGGGCCACGCTGTGCCACATAGACAGGGCCACGCTGACCCACATAGACAGGGCCACGCTGACCCACATAGACAGGGCCACGCTGTGCCACATAGACAGGGCCACGCTGACCCACATAGACAGGGCCACGCTGACCCACATAGACAGGGCCACCCTGAGCCACATAGACAGGGCCACGCTGAGCCACATAGACAGGGCCACGCTGTGCCACATAGACAGGGCCACGCTGAGCCACATAGACAGGGCCACGCTGTGCCACATAGACAGGGCCACGCTGTGCCACATAGACAGGGCCACGCTGACCCGCATAGACAGGGCCACGCTGACCCACATAGACAGGGCCACGCTGAGCCGCATAGACAGGGCCACGCTGACCCACATAGACAGGGCCACGCTGAGCCGCATAGACAGGGCCACGCTGACCCACATAGACAGGGCCACGCTGAGCCACATAGACAGGGCCACGCTGACCCACATAGACAGGGCCACGCTGAGCCACATAGACAGGGCCACGCTGACCCACATAGACAGGGCCACGCTGAGCCACATAGACAGGGCCACGCTGACCCACATAGACAGGGCCACGCTGACCCGCATAGACAGGCCACGCTGAGCCGCATAGACAGGGCCACGCTGACCCGCATAGACAGGGCCACGCTGACCCGCATAGACAGGGCCACGCTGAGCCACATAGACAGGGCCACGCTGTGCCACATAGACAGGGCCACGCTGAGCCACATAGACAGGGCCACGCTGAGAGATAGACTGCTGCTATAGAGGACAGAACTGACGAATCCTGAACCAGGTTAAAGATTAGTGCTCTGTTAGTTATGATAGATAGTAATTTGATCGTAGATGAGAAGGGACAGAATTTAATCCCAATTTATAAATTGATAATATGATGCAAAGCCTTTATAGTCATTCTTTGAGGAAGGAATTAGGTGAGGAACGAAATTAGAAAAGACTATGGGGAAAATCTGGAGTATTTAGCACCTGGAATGAGCCATGAACGCTGTACCAGACAGCTATAATCTGATAACGATAAGAAGGGACCACTGCAGACAGACGTAATAAAAAAGGGGTTGAGTGGATTTTGCTTTCTGACTTGGAGTGTAATGCTGCTGTTTTAAGCATAACCGACATCTGCAAGGTTAAACACTCAAAGTTCAAACAGTGGAAGAATTCATTTGAAAATTGCTTTAAAGAATACAACAGTGCTGGGAGGAGCTAGTGACATTCCTCTTGGGTTAGTTCATTACAGCCTAAATATAATTGATCCTGCCAGCAGGACATGATATAATATCGAGACAGAATAACCTAACCGGTGACTAGAGATAACTACGCATGAGCTACATAATCCATCAACGACCATCTGGAATGTTGACTATGTTGACACTTCCTGAGACTCCATCTTATGCGATTCCAGTTGAGCAAGTGAAAAAGTTAAAATGTCGGTGATGGTAATCGAAGCTGCACCGAGCTGTTGAAACTCCGATCCCTGTGCTGGAGGCAGCAGCCCTACCACATCCAAATGTGGAGGCGAAACAAACAAAATACCAAAAACGACTTGAAAGCCTTGGAAGTGAAGTTTGAACTTGAACCAGTGAGAGATCGTCTCGTGATTTGCATAGTTGTTATTTCACGTCGGTGGATCGGTGATCTGCGGGATAAATGGCACCAGTTTAAGGAGCAGAATTTCTCATGAAGGCCTTGGCTGATCAATACTCTCCGAAGACCGCTGTGATCTCTCCGATCACGGAGAGCTTCGATACTAAACGCGGGAACCTCGACGTGCAGCAGGAGGTAGAGCGGGACATAGTCGGATGTCGATAAATGTAAACAATATGCGTGTCCTGGATATGTTGGCTGGCGACTGAACGAGAGCATAAGTGAAGCGTCAGCATCTGCGAACTCAGACAAGTGTAAGTAAGGGTCTTTTATACTTCACGTATTAGAACGCGATTGGATAGATGAGAAGGTAATAATGATTGAGTCTTCCTGGCAGAACTTGCGCTACGCTTTCATTTGTACATTAACTCTCACGTTCACAGATGACGTGTCGTCGAGCGCCCTCCGGCGGCCGTTATTATGTTCAAAACGACGATTAACGGATATTTTTCAAATCCTCCACTGGATGTAATGTAATCTCTGGTTTAAACTTGCTCGCGCCGAACTTTCATGCGCGCTCAGTTCTCTCCGCATTGGATTGTGGGAAATAGGGCTTCAGCGAGTGTACATCGAATGTACACTCGAATTCAGAGAGGATTGTGGGTAAAAGTAGTGAATTAATGTAGGGAATGATGTCGTTCACTCAGAATTCGGACACCACTACAAAATGGCCGACACCCGATATAGTGCACTAGTGGATAGGGAGCGATTTCAGACACAGCTAATGTGTGTGTTGTGTTCAGATCTTCAGGTGGAGTCTCCTGAGAGAGTGACAGAGGGAGATTCAGTCAGTCTGACATGTAAAAGCAGCTGCGCTCTGACTGACAGAGCAACATTCATCTGGTACAGAAACTCACTGAAGATATTAACTGAGAGTAAATTCAGGAACACACTCATCCTCAATCCAGTCAGAAGAGAGGATTCAGGCAGATATAGCTGTGCTGTAGACGGACACACACACGTCTCTCCTGATGTTCACCTCAATGTCATGTGTGAGTACAGATTCATGAGTTATTTTTTTTTTAAATTAGGAGATTGAGTTTGAATGAGATGATTTAAAGTTGTTTATTCTTTTCCTTTTTAGATCCTCCCAGGAGCGTCTCAGTGTCCATCAGTCCATCTGGTGTAATAGTGGAGGGAGATTCAGTGACTCTGAAGTGCATCAGTGACTCAAACCCTCCTGCTCTGATCTTCAGCTGGTTTAAAGGAGGAACGATTGTAGAATTTGGAAGAATCTTCATCATCTCAAAGATCAGATCTGATGACAGTGGAGAATACAAGTGCAGTTCATTCAATAGACATGGAGAGAAATACTCTGATACTGTGACTTTAAACGTCATGTGTGAGTTAATGATGTTTCAGTTACAGTAACCATCAAATTAATGGATTTACAATCACAAAACATAAATATACTCTTTCTTTTGTCTATATAAGATTCTCCCAGGAGCGTCTCAGTGTCCATCAGTCCATCTGGTGTAATAGTGGAGGGAGATTCAGTGACTCTGAAGTGCATCAGTGACTCAAACCCTCCTGCAGAAATCCACTGGTTTAAAGGAGGAACGATTGTAGGATCTGGAAGAATCTTCAACATCTCAAAGATCAGATCTGATGACAGTGGAGAATACAAGTGCAAGTCCTTCAATAAACATGGAGAGAAAAACTCTGATACTGTGACTTTAAATGTCATGTGTGAGTTAATAATCATCAGCACATTGTTTAAAATTTCCAAACACATAATTTTGCAATAGTTATTGTGAATTTTCATTTTTGTCTATTTTAGATCCTCCCAGAAGCGTCTCAGCGTCCATCATCAGTCCATCTGGTGTAATAGTGGAGGGAGATTCAGTGACTCTGAACTGCACCAGTGACTCAAACCCTCCTGCTGTGAACTTCAGCTGGTTTAAAGGAGGAACGATTGTAGGATCTGGAAGAATCTTCAACATCTCAAAGATCAGATCTGATGACAGTGGAGAATACAAGTGCAAGTCCATCAATGAACATGGAGAGAAATACTCTGATACTGTGACTTTAAACATCATGTGTGAGTTAATGATCATCTGCATATTGGTTAAACATTCCAAACACATAGTTTTGTAATAGTTAATGTGAATTTATTTTTTTTTAAATGTTAGATCCTCCAAAGAGCGTCTCAGTGTCCATCAGTCCATCTGGTGTAATAGTGGAGGGAGATTCAGTGACTCTGAAGTGCATCAGTGACTCAAACCCTCCTGCAGGAATCCGCTGGTTTAAAGGAGGAACGATTGTAGGATCTGGAAGAATCTTCAGCATCTCAAAGATCAGATCTGATGACAGTGGAGAATACAAGTGCAAGTCCATCAATAAACATGGAGAGAAATACTCTGATACTGTGACTTTAAACGTCATGTGTGAGTTAATGATGTTTCAGTTACAGTAACCATCAAATTAATGGATTTACAATCACAAAACATTAATATACTCTTTCTTTTGTCTATTTAGATCCTCCCAGAAACGTCTCCGTGTCCATCATCAGTCCATCTGGTGTAATAGTGGAGGGAGATTCAGTGACTCTGAACTGCATCAGTGACTCAAACCCTCCTGCTGTGAACTTCAGCTGGTTTAAAGGAGGAACGATTGTAGGATCTGGAAGAATCTTCAGCATCTCAAAGATCAGATCTGATGACAGTGGAGAATACAAGTGCAAGTCCATCAATGAACATGGACAGAAATACTCTGATACTGTGACTTTGAATGTCGTGTGTGAGTTTGATTGTTCATTTACAGTGACATTAAATACTCTAAACATTTCCTGTGATGTGAAATTTATTTGCGTGTTTTTTGCTTAGACCCGCCAAAGAACATCTTAGTGTCTGTCTCTGGTGTAATAGTGGAGGAAGATTCAGTGACTCTGAAGTGCATCAGTGACTCAAACCCTCCTGCTGTGAACTTCAGCTGGTTTAAGGAGAATGAAAGCTCAGCTGTTGGATCTGGACAGAGTTTCAGTGCACTACAGAGTGGACGCTTCTACTGTCAGGCTCACAATCAACATGGATCTCAGAGATCAGACGCTGTAACTGTCACAGGTGAAGCTTTTATTAACACACTCCTGTATCTTCACATCATTCATCAGTTTGGAGAGTTAATCATGATGATCTTCCTCTTTCAGTTCATCATGTTGCTGGTAGGAATGTGATTGTGATCACAGCGACATCTGGAGGAGTATTCATCATCATCATCGTCTTCATCATCCTGTTAATGTAAATTTAATAATAAAGAGTATAAATATAATTTACTTAAAAAATAATGCAGAAGGATATGTCCTTATTATATAAGAATTCTGTTTCTTTTTTGACAGTACGAGAAAAATAATTAACAGAAAATCTGCAGTACACAAGTGTGAGGTGAGCGGATCAAAGAACTACAGAATACTCTCTCTCTCTCTCTCTCTCTCTCTCTCTCTCTCTCTCTAATATATACAGTAAATATAATATATTTCTCTCTGTTTCCCTATAGGACGATGATCCAGGCTCATATGCAGCTCTTGACCTCAAGTCCAGATCATCTGACGTCTACGACACACTCGCAGTAAATTAAATATCAAAAACTTCACGTACAAAAGAGTGTGTTCGTTTAAAACCCGGGTAATAAATAACCAATGTGTTTTTCCCATAGACTGTCCATCCCAGACCTGATGTTCATCAGTCAGACTCTTCTGAATATGAGAATCCATAAGCCAGAAATCCTCAGGTCTTCTCCATATCACCAATGAAGAAGAAAATGTCAATAGATTCAAGTTAGTCTAATCCTTCGAGGAATGAAAATTAATTTACTATATACAGTATGAATGATCAATATATTAAATGTTTTAACAGTAGATTTGAATAATATATTGTGTTAATATATTGCAGGACATTGAATAATAAATAAGGAATTGCCGCTTTTCATATATTTAAAAATATGTGACATTTACTAATATATCGTAATGTTTGTAGTTTTATATTCAGCAACTTCATAATATATGCATATGTGGTCAGAAATGGTACTGCATGTTTAAATATTGCAGATATACTTTTTCAACTATTTATGTTAAATGTTTACTATTTTCAAGGTAATTAACGAAAATCACGCCTGCATGTACTAACTAACTAAAGTGTTTAGTCAATACACACTGTGCTGAGAAGCGCACAATTACTTCTAAAATACAGTCATTTCAGTATTGATGATAGTTGGCCAATGATCAACCGGACCACAAGCTCCATCACAAAAACTCAGACATACCAGAAAAACTTTTTAATTTAAAAATAATTGAACATTATATGACCCCAATTGAAACTGAAACTGTGTGACTGCACACATAAAACATAAACTTTGTACTTCGAAGACAATCTTTGTTGTAAATCTGTTTTGAGTTAAGTTGTTTTTCAAATAATCTGCGAGAGAGTCTGCGAGAGAGGAATGGAGACGGCAGATACACCAAGCAGGATAAGAGGACTCTACTCGAGCCATAGACATATACACTAGACCTCACCTTGGCTTCGGCAGTTCATTGGAACGAATGCGTCAATAGAGCCGCCATCTTGAAACAGGGGAGCCCCTCCACTTTAATGCATCAGACACAGGTCTAACGGAAATAAAATCACCATAAATCATCATGAATGCGATTTTTCTTGTTTTTTTGGTTTGTTCCAACGGTCAGACATGTATTTATCATTGATTCCAGAAAGAAAAAAAAAATATATATTTTTTTTAAAACATTCTTCCTAGTTCAGATTTCATCCGTGAACATCATACGCTGCACAAAAGTCCGCCACCATCAATGAATTCGACGTTAAGGCAGAGATAGCAGCGTTACCTAGCTACTTCCTATGACAAGACCCCTGTTCCAAGATGGCGGCGGTTTTGACGCATGCTTAGAACCCCAAGGTGAGGTCTAGTGTATATGTCTATGTACTCGAGCAACATGATGCTGCAGTCTCACTATTAGCAGGAGCATTAGCAGCGGCGGCGGTCGGAACGACAGTAGGAACAGCAATAGTGATCGGATCAGTCGCAGGAGCAGCGGTCGGAAGCAGGACTCGCAGCTTCAGTGGGAGCAGCTGGGAAAGCAACAGTAATGGGAGCAGCTGGAGGTGCGGCTCTGGCTCTGGCAACAGTAGTTAGTGCTGGAGTATATTGGTGGTACGCTAAATAATGAATATTGTAATTATTACCACAGTTTCGTACCCTGACTTAGTCATACTCACATTCTTGTCGGAATATGAGTCTGAAACTGCTCCGTAGGGCTTTGATTATGAGGTGTGTCTTAACCCTCTGGGGTTGTTCGGCCCAAATGGACCCGAAAAATTTAATTTTTTATTTTTTTTTAAATCACAGCTTGCTCGGAAAGGTCCGAAATTTGGTGACTTTGTTGGTATTTGGTATTTGAACACCCCAAAAAATTGGGGACAGGATGTGAATAGTCTGAGTGGTTGTAAAAAAAATAGTCACACTTGGGGTGTTCGGGTCCAAATGGACCCGCATGCAAAATGAATGGGAAATTGGCAAAAATGTGAAAATAGTGAGTTTTTTTTGTGCGTACAATCTACAAATCAGCCACGATCTTGAAAAAAAGCACACAACAGTGAAGAGGTGAATCTATAAAACATCAAGAGTGCAAAACAGACACATCCAGACACACTTTTATACACAAACACACCAAAAAATTCAGATTATACATGTGTTTTGCATTTTTAAAATGCTCAGTTTGTCCACCAGATGGCATCCATCTCATTTTAAAAATTGCTTTTATGAGGCCTAGGCTTGACTCTAAAATGAAATACAGCTTTAAAAAAATAATAAAATAAAAAAAAAATCTATTATGTTCAATGGGGGGAAATTTTGTCATAATTATGGCATCAATACTAATTATACATTTTTTTTATTTTTGAATTTTTCTCAAAACACCAAAAAAGAAAAGAAAACGTAGCCTACACTTTATTTATTTTAGAAGTTAAATAACGATTGTTGCTTCTTTCACTTACTCCTCCATGAGTGCGACCAAAGGAGAAACCACAACGACCACAGGCTTTTCACTACGTCCCCTCTCTTAGCCAGCTGATAAGTTACACTTTTGCCGAATCATGTCGGAAGGACGGCAAAAATATCTTTCCGATCGACAAATGCCTTGATTGCAGTTTTCTGTTTGTCTATTAAAATGAATGCGCTGTCGATTTATTTTACAAAAGGCGCGACAGCGGAATCTATACATCTCAATTCTCCAGCTGCAGTCAACTTTGACAAGCGCTCTTTGATAACGTGATGATTACATCCCTGCAGATCATCTGTCCATCATTGTATAAAGCCCACTCTGGCAATCTGATTGGCCCGAAAATCTTTTGCCTGATCATAATTACTCCTCAATGGATCGAGTCCAGACCGAACTTCCCGACCAAAAAATGTTGTGGGCGGAGTTCGGGCTGGCATCCAGGCTAACAGTTTCATATTCCTTAGAAATGTTTTCCAGTGTTAAACAAAAGAGTCTTTAAATGAAAAAAGTTTTGATGTGTTAATTCCAGAACACAAGGCATTTTCTTTAATTATAATCATTGGTGTTTGAGGGCTCCCCTCCTGTGGCTGTTTATGGTACTGCAGACAGTGTATTTTGCCCCTATTCTCTTGCTGTAGTAGAGTTGCTGCTGTGATGTTCGTTTTCTGGCGTTTCAGTTCATTAACAGATTAATTGTGATGATAATATGTTTTATTAATTCTCAGTTTCTTTTATTCATGTATTTGAACAAATATACAATGCTTTTAACACTTTAACACAGTTGTTGAGATTGTAATAAAATGTATTGAGGTTAGACCTACATGTACGTCACACGTGAACTTTATTTTGGTCATTGTGTCTATATCTTAAAGTTTCAATGTGTAAAATATTTTTGAGGATCTATTAACAGAAGTGCAATATGACATCCATAACTATGGGTTTCAGCGGTGTAATGTTTTTATTACAGTAGAATGATACTTTTATATCTACATAACCGCGGTCCGCCCCTTCTATGAGAGTCGACATATTGTGTCGTCATGTTTCTACAGTAGCCGAACGCAAACACACAGAGCACGCTTCATCACTACCTTGTAAGAGAAGCAGCAGAAAGCTGGAAGCTAGCCATAAACACCGTGAGTAGTGACTTTCCCCTTGTCAGTGGTGTAAAATATATAGTTGGACAATGCAGCAATGCATGATGGGAGCCATGAATGAGTTTTGATTGGCGGCACCCTGAATGCACTGCAACATTCTTTATTATTGTCACCATTGTTGAGATTCATAGGCAAATTATTGATGTCTTTGTCTTAAAAAAAATTGAAGAGAAGTAAAAAAATTGTGTTGGAGAAACTTTTAAGAAATTAAATTTAATACATTGTATGCGTCATAAATACTATGCTGTGCAAGGTCACTGCTGCTATAATTAATAAAGTAAACCTAACTCAGAAATTAGGCTCTATATGAATTCAGTGATTCAGGTCAAATGAGTTGTGAGTTAATGATTGAAACACAACCATCAGACCACCTTTTCTATTTGTTCATCTGGCTGTTATAACTCATGTGGCCAAACATGATCTAAAGTTAAAGAATTAAGGGTCAAGAGCCCAACTAAAGCAAACACTGATCTCCATAATGGTGACTTAAAAGACACGTTTTTCTTCTTCAGTGATTCTGCTTGTTATCATCAGGTGTCTTCAATAATGCTCAATCATCACTCAATTATTCACTTAATTATCTCATTAACTTTAACACTGCTTCAGTGTTCATTTAACACTCAGCTCAGAGTTTATATAATTCACACTTTAAGATAATTAAATTTCCTCTCTATATGATCATGTTGTGAGTGCCTGTGGCTGGATATTATGAGGAAGCTAAGCTAGCGTTTAAATCATGGGTGTTGGCTGGTAGACCAAGGCAAGGGCCGCTGTTTGAACAAAAGAAAAATGCTAATGCAGCGTATAAACATGCTGTTAGCAGGCTATGATGGCAGAATCTATGGCCGAGAAAGGTAATGGATAACCACACTACTGAATTTTGGAAGGAGGTAAAGTGTCTTAACAAATGTAGTATACCACCCCCTTGCACTGTAGATGGTGTAGATGGTGTATCAGGGGTTGAGAATATTGCAGAGATGTGGAGACAGCACTACATGACCTTGTTTAATTGTGTTAAAAGTGATATTTATATGTCTGACAATATTGAGTGTGCTGATTTTAAGGCAATTTTTTCACATGAGGTATCATGCACAATAAATAAGCAAGTGGGTTGGATCACATCACTGCCGAGCACATTACATTAGCCCCCTTACTTGGTATATGTTTTAATTCCTTTTTAATTCATGGCTTCCTTCCGGACTCAATGATATCTGTCTTGCTTGTGCCGGTGATCAAGGATAAGTCCGGTAAGGTTGGTTGCTCTGATAACTACAGACCAATAGCCCTTGCCAGTGTATTGTCTAAAGTTTTTGAAAGCATCCTGTTGAGCAGTATTGTGGACGTTATCCCATCTACTGACAATCAATTTGGTTTTAAACCAAATACCTGTTAATACAACCCGGTCTCATCCCAAGACGTCATATAACTGACGTTTTGGGACGTCTTTTGACCATACGTCAATATTCGCCTTTTTAGGGCCCCCTTAAACGTCGGTAGATGAGGTTATGGGATCCTAACTCTACCCCAGACCTAAACCTAACCCGTCACCTACCTGACGTTAAAGGTAAAGCGTCAGTTGTATGACGGCCCGGGATCGCCATCTACCGACGTTTAAGGGGGCCCTAAAAAGGCGGATATTGACGTATGGTCAAAATACGTCCCAAGACGTAAGTTATATGACGTCTTGGGATGAGACTGTGTTAGTTAATACCTATAAAGATAAGAACTCCTCAGTTTTAATGAGTTTTATTGATGCCTCAAAAGCTTTTGACCGTGTCAATCATTATAAGTTATTTGACAAAATGAGTAAGAGAGGTGTTTCTAAATGTATTATTAGAATTCTGTCCTTCTGGTATGCCAACCAGTCGATGTTTATAAAATGGGGTCACTGTGTTTCTGCCCCTTTTGGGGTCAGGAACAGGGTCAGACAAGGTGGAATCCTCTCTTGTCTGAAATTGAAATGACATTGAAATGAAATTTCATGTACAAATTTATATGTCGGTTGAATAACTCAGAGAATTATATAAATGTGGCTTTGACCAATATCAAATTTAGCACTACACGGTATGTGTCCAAGTTATGGAAGCATTGGTATAGTTGTCTTTTTTATATATATATATATATATATATATATATATATATATTGTATTATATTGTGTGTACTGTCTTATTTGTCTGTCTTTTTTATTTGGACCGGTGAGAAAGTTTATTATTATTATTATTATTAATACTGGGGATTTTGCTGTGTGCCATGTTTAAACTTTTCTTCCGCTCTCAGCACTGGTTGAAGTGTCATATCCTCGTGTTAAATATAACGTGTATACCACATAAAAACCCAACACTGGATTAATTTAGTTCATTTGTCACTGGCCATGAGTGTTGGTGAAACGGGTAAGAGCATCACTTACTAATCGATCTTTACATTCAAAAGTGCTTGTGTTAATGCAGTCAGTCATTCGGTTGCTGTAGATCTGATGAGCTTCAACACCATTAGTAACTAAAGAAAAACTGATGATTATTTCTATGGATGAAGCTCATATGATTCCTGACATGAGAAATATCTTTTGTTCATATAATTACCAGTTCATTTACACAATCTGATGTTGTGAATTAATAATCTTCAGATGTGCAAAGATCTTATTAACACTAAGAGCTGTTTAGGGTGAACATACATTGTTTATGATCATATCAGTGATGTTTAATGCTGTATTATAGATATATTTATGCTGATGATGAGGGCCAGAATGACTTCTCTTCCTCTGATCTTTCTGCTCATGATACACGGTGAGTCTCTCTTATATTTCAACTTCTGAGGCGGAAAAGTAACTAGTTGCTTCTTGATTTTTCCTTTTATTCTGATGTTTTTAGTGAAGTTTTTTTATGATTAATGAGCAGTTTTATGTGGTATGTTGATGTATTTTCTTTTGAAACAGGAAGTTTGGGTGAGGCATGTCAGTGGGCTTGTCTATTTTATAAATATCCTGTAGTTTTCAATTACGTCTTTTTTTTTTGAGGACTAATGAGAAATAGTCCTCAGATATCTGTATGTAATTTATAGCAGTTTTCATGGTCTGTTGTAATTTATAAAACAACATTTTCATCTTCTGGATGAATGCTGTGTTTCAGGGGTTTCTAGTGCTGATTGGGGTGTGAGTTACAGTCCTTCACACATCTGTGCACTAAAGGACTCAGCAGTGATAATGAGATGCACTTATACATACCCTACTGGATATAAGATCGAGAAAGTGTTCTGGACCAAAACGCTGGTAATGGATAATGAAGAGCCTCCAGATCTGTCTAATGACCCTGAATACAGTCAGAGGCTTCAGTATCTGGGAGATAAACAGCAGAACTGCACCGTCAGACTGAGTCATGTGACACTGAAGGATTCACACATGTACTATTTCAGATTCATCACTGATCAACCTGATGGAAGATGGATTGGTGATCCAGGAGTGACTCTTAATGTCACAGGTGACTTTGATGAGGTTTATCTCTTCTTCTGTGCATTATGTTGAATAATAATCAGTGTGTGACAGCAGCACTAGATATAATGTGTGTGTTGTGTTCAGATCTTCAGGTGGAGTCTCCTGAGAGAGTGACAGAGGGAGATTCAGTCAGTCTGACATGTAAAAGCAGCTGCGCTCTGACTGACAGAGCAACATTCATCTGGTACAGAAACTCACTGAAGATATTAACTGAGAGTAAATTCAGGAACACACTCATCCTCAATCCAGTCAGAAGAGAGGATTCAGGCAGATATAGCTGTGCTGTAGACGGACACACACACGTCTCTCCTGATGTTCACCTCAATGTCATGTGTGAGTACAGATTCATGAGTTCTTTTTTTAAATTAGGAGATTGAGTTTGAATGAGATGATTTAAGGTTGTTTGTTATTTTCCTTTTTAGATCCTCCAAAGAGCGTCTCAGTGTCCATCAGTCCATCTGGTGTAATAGTGGAGGAAGATTCAGTGACTCTGAACTGCATCAGTGACTCAAATCCTCCTGCTCTGAACTTCAGCTGGTTTAAAGGAGGAACGATTGTAGGATCTGCAAGAATCTTCAACATCTCAAAGATCAGATCTGATGACAGTGGAGAATACAAGTGCAAGTCCATCAATGAACATGGAGAGAAATACTCTGATACTGTGACTTTAAACGTCATGTGTGAGTTAATAATCATCTGCATAATGGTTAAAAATTCCAAACACATAAGCTGTGTCTGAAACCGCTCACTCGTTCACTCATTCACTAATCCCTATACAGTGTATGGCATTTGAGTGCACTATATCTGCAAGGAGTGAATGAGATGAAGTGAGTGAATTCGGACGCTGACGTTTACACTGTGCGTCGGAGAGTTGGAGCTGTCGCAGAAAAGGCTTCGTCACGCGTACTGATAAAACTCCTTTTATCTTACATTACCTACTTTATAAAATAATATTAACAACAATAACAACCATAATGACTTTATTTTGTAATTATACCTCCGTGCCAGCTTTGTAGTTTCATCGACTGAAATTGTACATTAACTCTCACGTTCACAGATGACGTGTCGTCGAGCGCCCTCCGGCGACCGTTATTATGTTCAAAACGACGATTAACGGATATTTTTCAAATCCTCCACTGGATGTAATGTTTCATGCGCGCTCAGTTCTCTCCGCATTGGATTGTGGGAAATAGGGCTTCAGGAAGTGTACATCGAATGTACACTCGAATTCAGAGAGGATTGTGGGTAAAAGTAGTGAATGAATGTAGGGAATGATGTCGTTCACTCAGAATTCGGACACCACTACAAAATGGCCGACACCCGATATAGTGCACTATATAGTGGATAGGGAGCGATTTCAGACACAGCTATAGTTTTGTAATAGTTAATGTGAATTTAAATTTTTTTCAATTTTAGATCCTCCAAAGAGCGTCTCGGTGTCCATCATCAGTCCATCTGGTGTAATAGTGGAGGGAGATTCAGTGACTCTGAACTGCATCAGTGACTCAAACCCTCCTGCAGGAATCCGCTGGTTTAAAGGAGGAACGATTGTAGGATCTGGAAGAATCTTCAACATCTCAAAGATCAGATCTGATGACAGTGAAAAATACAAGTGCAGGTCCTTCAATAAACATGGAGAGAAATACTCTGATACTGTGACTTTAAACATAATGTGTGGGTTAATGATCATCTGCACACTGTTTAAAATTTCCAAACACATAATTTTGTAATAGTTTATTGTGAATTTTAATTTTTGTCTATTTTAGATCCTCCCAGGAACGTCTCAGTGTCCATCATTCAGTCTGGTCAGATCTGGGCAGGAGATTCAGTGACTCTGAAGTGCATCAGTGACTCAAACCCTCCTGCTGTGAACTTCAGCTGGTTTAAGGAGAATGAAAGCTCAGCTGTTGGATCTGGACAGAGTTTCAGTGCACTACAGAGTGGACGCTTCTACTGTCAGGCTCACAATCAACATGGATCTCAGAGATCAGACGCTGTAACTGTCACAGGTGAAGCTTTTATTAACACACTCCTGTATCTTCACATCATTCATCAGTTTGGAGAGTTAATCATGATGATCTTCCTCTTTCAGTTCATCATGTTGCTGGTAGGAATGTGATTGTGATCACAGCGACATCTGGAGGAGTATTCATCATCATCATCATCATCTTCATCATCCTGTTAATGTAAATTTAATAATAAAGAGTATAAATATAATTTACTTAAAAATAATGCAGAAGGATATGTCAATATTATATATAAATTCTGTTTCATTTTTGACAGTACGAGAAAAATAATTAACAGACAATCTGCAGTACACAAAAGTGAGGTGAGCTGATCAAAGAACTACAGAATACTCTCTCTCTCTCTCTCTCTCTCTCTCTCTCTCTCTCTCTAATATATACAGTAAATATAATATATTTCTCTCTGTTTCCTTATAGGACGATGATCCAGGCTCATATGCAGCTCTTGACCTCAAGACCAGATCATCTGACGTCTACGACACACTCGCAGTAAATTAAATATCAAAAACTACCCGTGTAAAATAGTTTGTTCATTCAAAACTCGAGTGATAAATAACCAATGTGTTTTTCCCATAGACTGTCCATCCCAGACCTGATGTTCATCAGTCAGACTCTTCTGAATAAGCCAGAAATCCTCAGGTCTTCTCCATATCACCATGGAAGTAAAATAATGTCAAATGTTTTTGAAACATAAAGGATGTTGAATTGCACCAATTGAAAAAAAAAAATGCATTGCATTAACCATGCTTGCATTTTAATCCATTGCATTTTTAAGGCTAGCATTTTTATGGGCTGAAATTCAACATGGTTGAATATTTAAGCTGTGAATATTTCAATTAAAAACATTTCAAACACATTTTCATTATTAAAAATTCAATAATCCATATTCACCTTTCATATTTCACTTCCAAAGGAAGAGCCCTTCACAAGACGTCATTTGCTGAAATGGACAGAGCGATGAGTAGCAAAAAAACATTTGACATTATTTTACTTCCATAGAAGAAAATGTCAATAGATTCAAGTTAGTGTAATCCTTCGAGGAATGAAAATTAATTTACTATATATGAATGATCAATATATTAAATGTTTTAACAGTAGATTTGAATAATATATTGTGCTAATATATTGCAAGATATTGAATAATACATAAGGAATTGCCGCTTTTCATATATTTAAAAATATGTGACATTTACTAATATATCGTAATGTTTGTAGTTTTATATTCAGCAATACACTTCATAATATATAGATGTTTATGTGGTCAGAAATGGTACTGCATGTTTAAAATATTGCTTTTATAACTATTTACATTAAAATGTTTAATATTTTCAAGGTAATTAACGAAAATCACGCCTGCATGTACTAAAGTATTTATCAAATATACTATCACTGTGCTGAGAAGCGCACAATTACTTCTAAATTACAGTCATTTTAGTATTGATGATATTTGGCCAATCGATATTTGACCACAAGCTCAGATATACCAGAACAACTTTTTAATTTAAAAATAATAGAATATGTCCCCAGTTGAAACTGAAATTTAATGTGAATGCACACATAAAACATAAACTTTGTACTTTGAAGACAATCTTTATTGTAAATCTGTTTTGAATTAAGTTTTTTTTCTTCAAATAAACGTTTCAGAGTCAGTGATGTTAAATTGTGCGTATGTATTTTTATTTAGGGTGACCAAATGTCCTGTTTTCACATCCGGTATGAACAGCCAATCGTTAGTAGGACTCCTACAGGTGTAAAACAACAAAAGAAGAAAAAAAAAGTGAAATACTGATTATGTTAAAATATAACTAACACCAACAAATCACCGTTTTCCATTTGGATCGGTGTTCGTAGATCGACTGGTAGAGTCTATTTTTCAAAGATGGCTTCTTCCTGTATTCGCGAAGTTGACTGTATGTATAAAATATCTTCTTATTAAACTGTATGGGCACTGACAAAGTTCTCAATGCTTCGTTTTGAATGTAGGGACCCTTATTATTCTGTCATGTTACCGTGGGGCTGTTTTGAGCCTTTTTAGTGGTAATAACAAGCGATTTTTATTTATCATTACTCTATGCCCTATATACTAGCATTATACTAGCGTTATCAGGCTAAACTGTTTTTAGAGATAAAACTATTTACATTCGGCAATCATGAAAACAAATCTCAGATAACGGTTGACTAGGTAACAATGTGTAATTAGACTAAAGGTTCATTTAGCGGTCTCCACGTTGACAGCATGTTGGATGGATCTGTGCAGCGCTGTTATGATACTAACCATTCAATACACAGACTGGTCGGCTGTCAATGTGTTTGCGAGAGAGAGAGAGAAAAAGAGAATATGTGCTGCACGCAACTCTGCAGTCAATTACAACTTTTCCCATCTTAAATTGTTAAAAACACGGAAATCAATATGTGGCGGTCAGCGCTGATAATGTGGTGGGCTGCCACTAATAAATGTATGGGAAACACTGTACCGGTTATCACTCAGATAAACATAGCTAGGCTATTTTAATACCACCGTCTCCCTCATAGGAAACATTTTTATTTTTTAAAAATTGCGTTTGCTCCCTAGGTCAGGTCGCACCCCACAGCTCAACAACCTGCTCATCACCTTAACTTTCACTGCATTTGTAGTCAATGCCATATTATCCAGTGAACACTAATAAAAGAACAGAACGGAAGTTAACTTTGGGCTAGCTCATCACCATGGCAACGCGTCTGATGAAAGCGTCTATAGAATAGACATCGTCCCAATTCGCTTACTTATACTACGCCCTAAAAGCAGGGTTCTCAAGTCTCACGCATTGGCCGTGAGACACACTCATTTCGACCGGTTCACACGCTCACACGCCACACTGTGTATTTCTCACGCTGAAAAGGCAATGCCAACCAAGTTGTCCTGGCTGAAAGCTTTCTAACGTTGTATACGAGGCGCAGGCAAACAAAGTGAAGTTTCCTGCCGCCAGCGCGTATCTCCGCCAGATTGCGTTCGTTACTAGGCAACATGCGCGCTGCGTGCACCACTGATCTATACATGACATGTCATTCAGTAGCGCGAACACACGGAAATGGACGGAACATCCTCGGCCACCTTACGTTCGTTACTAGGTAACCAAAAACATCGCGCGAACACATGTGATGGAGAAGAAGGTAAGTTGGAAGAAGCTCGTCTAACATTTTTGGGCTAGAACATTTAATATGTAGCCCATCGTACATTATTATTGATGCAGTCAAAAACTCTACAACTACTTTGCAACCAGGCTCAGTTTGGCTATCTTATGTTATCTGAAACTAAGAGAAATGTTAGTGGGTATGGAAAGGAATGAAGATTTACTGATTTTATTTTAAATTATATTATACTGTAATATTAATAGTCTTTCTAGTTACATTAAGGATGTATTACAGCAGATTGCTCTCTGGGTAATATTTAATCATTGTCATAATGTTGCATTTGTATTTTTCAAAGATGTCAGGAAAAAAGCAAGATATCTTGTCATTTTGGGCACCAAAGGGTAAGCCCCCTAAAAAGGTTGCCAGATTAGAGGAGGAGACAGTGGAAGAGGTGGTGCACTCTAATCTGTCCATTTGTTCTCAATGTCCCACCACACAATAAATCATTCGTCTAGATAGAAGACGCATTCAAAAATCAAAATGCAATTTTTAAACATTTGTTTGAAACTGTTTGGAGCAATTTGTTATATTTTTGGTTAGCTATATTTGTAATACTGCATTAAAGAGTATTTGATGTGATGAATTGCTCTGTCATTTATCAGATTTACTAATTGTTATAATTTTAATTTGTTCTGGTTAATTATGAACAATGGGTAAAATTGGGGGCGGGGATGGGTGGGGCGGGGCTTCATTATGGCTCCTCCCCTAACCGCGTGTGCTCTCACTCCAAGCTTTTGCTCAAACTTGAGAACCCTGCTAAAAGTATGTACTCTTTTTGTGAGTGTGTAGCAAAAAAAGTAGGCAAGCTTTGGGACATACTATCACGTCATCTTTAACGGACAGCTCTGTGCATCCTGGCACCGTAAACTGCCCTGTCAATCATCTTGTCACAGTTAAAATCCTCCATTCTATCTAATTTTATTTCCTACCGTTTCGAAGAGCACGTTCATCTGCCAGTTGTGGGTCTTTCATGCTCTCCTCGTGTTTGCAATTTGAATATAATGATGCATTTAAAACGTAATGGCTTAACGTGTCTTTACAAAAGTTCACAATGCTGCTGCAAATGCAATATAATGTGGACAACATTGAATAAATTCATTCTCGCCAGGTTAGATACTGATAATTAATCACTCAAAGCTCTTTATCTAAACCTCTCTACACAACCGCGGGGACTCGCGCGTCCTCCGTATCGAGTACGTGTCTGTAGATTTTTAACACTTTTTACTCGTGTTTGTAGTTCTAACCGAATCCTCGTCCAACGCGCAATGGTTTGTGGGCAATATCAGACGTTAGAGTGTGCATCGATCTACACTTCGGATTCTGAGCGGAAAAAGTAGACCATCCGGGTATCTTTGAAACACTCATTTCAACAAACTACGATTTGGGACGTACTAATTCTATTTTCGAATACTATTTAGGACGGATAGTATGCGAATGGTTTCAAAGATCATTAATTTGACACTTAAATCACGTGACTTTGGCAGTTTGATACAGGCTCTGAATCACTTCTGAATCACTCACTGAATCATCAAATAATGATTCGTAAATGTTTCGAAGCGTGTTCGAAGCTTCGAAAGCCCTCTCATCACCAATGAAGACTCATCAGGGCACTTGTACTGTTACTGTAGCAGAATATGCAGAATATTGTTGTATATAGGGGGAACATATTGGTGATGCAACAATACCTCGTGCGATGTGCGAACAGCGCCATCTTTAGAAGCACATTTGCCGCTGACGGGGTCGGGTGTGCTCTCTCTCGCTCATCTGACGAACGTGCTGGTAAGAACATTTTGAAGTGTATATTTGACTATGTAAGTTAATCGACTTATTTCATGAGATAAACAATGTTTAAGTGAAATGAAAAGCTGTGATGTCATGAAATTGAATGTAGTTAATTGCTTGAGTGTTTTTGCTTACTAGCTTTCTCCGTGCTGTATGAGACTGAGGAGGGGGAGAGACGTGTATCCCACGAAAAAAAGAGTATTAATTGTGCTCTGTATTTCTGCAGGTATGTTAAACTGTTTATTGTGTTTATTGTTGAGAAATGGGTAACACTTTACGGTAAGGGTACATGAATTATCATGAATAAATTAATGCATGAATTATGCATTCATTCATGCATTATTTCTCATGAATCATCAGGAACTAACACAAGTTCAACGTTTTTCATTCATGACTTCATGAATGAACAACACCTTAATTAAAACATTAACTAAGATATGCACATCACCATGAATTATGATTTATTATGCAAGATCATGATGTTTTCTTTGTTCTAAGTCTAGGTCAGTGACCTAGTCACCACTTTAGTTGAGGGGCCACACACATGATGAAGTCATTAATAGATTAATGCTTAGTTAATGATGACTATTGGACAGACACCATAATAGACCAATCACAGCTCATAGCACACAGATTCTGTTAATCAAATACAGAAGTCATCATTAACTAAGCATTATCTATTAATGACTTCATCATGTGTGTGGCCCCTCAACTAAAGTGGTGACTAGGTCACTGACCTAGACAAAGAACAAAGAAAACATCATGATTATG